TCGGAAGAAGATGCCCTGGAAGTGTTTGCGCAGCTTTTTGCGCCACTCTTCGTCGTCCGTGAGTGAGAGTTCCCACTCGTGACTGCGGTTCTGCTCAACGAGTGCTCGCTTTGTCGCCCAATCTTGCTCGGCCACTAGTTGCATAGCCTTCCTCTGCCATTGTCTATGTTCGGTCTGGTGCATCTTGCGACACTCTCTCTCTCTCTCTCTCTCTCTCTCACGCGCGTCAAAGACATTCAAAGCCGTCATGCACCCAACCCGACTCCCTCCCTTCTCAGGCGCCTCAAGTGCCGTGCGGACGCTGCTTCCGATGGCGCTGGTCTTGGGACCCAGTGGCCACAACTCTTCGACTTCAATATCAAAGGCGAGAACCCTGACATCCACTGCCGGCATGGCATCCAGGAGAGCCGCGATGAGAGGAGTTCTTACGACGAAAGAGTCTGCAGTGGAAGCGGATGTATCCACATAAACTATCCAGCTGGAGGGCTCGAATCGTGCAGTGGTGGGCGCAGCCACATCATCTCCAACAACATACGAGGTTACCAGCTGCCCATCACCCACAGCGAAAGACTTGCTAGCAACGTTCGGGTCCCAAACCTCGACAATAGCATCTGTGAGAGGTACCACGGGGCCCATCTCCTGCGCAAAGCGCATGAGGTCGCCATCCATGACGCCATACACTTGGCCCACCTCAGGCAGGGTGCAGTTGGCACTGAAACCACCATCGCCCAACGTCTGCGTGACGGCCACAAATGTGAGGTTCTTGATCTCGGGCAGACCGGCCATGGGAATCTGCAGCGAGCGATATGTCTTTCTGGATGGAATTGTGAGTGTGTAGGAGAGTACCAAGCGCACCAGAGCACGTGGTGCAATTGGAAACACTCTCGCCGTGAAGATGTTGCCCTGACAAGCCGGATGAGCAGATCCATGGAACCCAATGTTAAAGAGGCAGGGATCTCAGTGGGCAGTGGCCCATGAAGTGGTATTAGATTCTTGTTGACACATACTTGGTGGGCCGAGCAGATCAAAGTCTTACAATCTTCCAGAGAATCCCGGAACCAGCGCAAGCGTTTTGTTATTCTTTGCAGCGTAGTGGGGTGTTGCACCAACCTGTCGAACGGAAAAATGCGGTGAACGCGTGATCTGCAAACCATCGTCACCGACATCGGAAGCCTGAAAGATGCTAGAACCTAGACTTCACTTCGCAAGAATGCTGAAAGCTGCTACGAAAAAGCACATTGTGACAGGGATGTTGTAACCTTCCACCTGGCTCTGCTCCAGGAGGGCTGGATCCCGTGCTTGGTGCAGGATCTCTCGGTAGACTTGCTGCGCTTTGGATCTGTTTACCACTTCTCCCTCCATCAGCTTCTCTCCGATCTGCATGGCAAAGCGGCTTGGCATGGCTGGGCCGTCCACTCCCATTGGCAAAGCGAAGGAGAAGCGTCCTGAGGCATGGAAAGCAAGAAGAGCCAGTAAGCTGTTTAAAAACTGCACATGGCCGCGTCGTGGACCCCAAAAGTGTGACACTCCGCATACCGTATTACACCTCTGGCAGACCACTCCAGGACCACATGGGGGCCACATCCCAACACCATTCCAAGACCGCCCCTATGATGGTATTCCATTCGGGGACCCCTCCAGGATACTCCAGGACCAATGCAAACTACTCACGGTGTTGCGCGGCCCCGTGGCCAGAGTGCAGGAGGTCCAAGACCAAGAGAACAGAGTTGCACCCCAGTGCGCACCTCACTATGGCCAGAGCAAGATGTCGTGAGGAGAAAACGCGATGGACGGACCGCGGCCTGAGCATGACATTCGGAACGAACTGGGCAGGGGCAACGCTTGCGAAAACTCTAACACAAACTTTTGACAGCGAGGATCGAAATTCAACCGCGCGATCTTCACCCAATGTGCTCAAGGCTCCACGGCAAGAGCGCGATTCCGACGAAACACCCGATTGGGTCGGGAGTCTGTCGCACGAAACGTCTGTGTGCCGAGCCCAGCACTGTGCGGAAGCGCGGAACGCGCGCGCCGCCACGTTATAGTGCTCTTGAAGAGGCATGGGAACACGAAGGCAACCGAGCTGAGCCAGTGACCCTCCATTGTCCGATCTTCTGGATTCTGGAAGACCATCTCATTCTCCACCATCGCGAAAGGTCCAAACAGGGCTGCACTCACAGCCAGCCTTAAGAACACCAGCTCCTGGCCAGAGAAAACTTAGACTCAGTGCTCATGGCAGGCCAAAGATGAAAGACAACTCGCTTCCAGTCGAAAAGAACACACACGGCCCGACGACGTCGGTCCTGTCCCTCTGGATTTTGCAGAGAAACTGCTGGCCCTGCTGTGCACATGAGCGGCATCAGCCATGCCCACACCCAGCTCCACATCGCTCCGCGGAAGTGCGCGGAAGCTATGCTTTGTACCGAAGCTCAAGCGGCTGGGCTGATTCCCTGGCTCTTTCAAAGGGCTGCAGCTCACGCAAGGGGCTGTGGCAGATGCAAGGCTCGGCACTTCCTGAAATTGCATGGCGCCTCTTCTGCAGACGCTTCCTGAAGTGGCCAGAAGATCTCGTTCCTGCGCACGCGGGGAGGGCGCTTGCCAAGCGCTCGTTCGGAGCAGGACGTGTCGTGCAGTGCCGCAACACCGTGCAGTGCCGCGGCGCCTCGCCTTGCAACCTCGGACTCCTCCAGCTCGAGGCGGCGAAGTGCTCCAGGGCCCCTGTGGGACGGGAGCAAAGAAACGGGAGACATCGGCGGAGGCCGAAAGCAGATGGTTGCAGAGGACTGCAGGAGCTGCGAGCTCGGAGCTGCCTCTCCACGACGGTGCCGGGGACCTCGAGGCCGAAAGAGCTCAGGAAGCCTCGGGCGCAGCGCCAAGCGCAACGCCAAGCGACACGGAGGGGACGAGACGAGACGAGAGACGAAGAGAGACAGAGGACCTACGAGGACGGGGACGAGCGGCAGCTGCTGGACACCATCGCCAGAGCTCGAGCACCGGGACCCGCTGACCGCCAGGGCAGACGCGGTTCAGTCAGGAGGATGTCGATATCTGTGCCTCCACACGAACTCTTTAATCTTTCATCCGCAAACATCGCCCAACATGCAAACATAAGATACATAAGATCCAGCCCGGAGGCTTTGGAGTCTCAGGACGTGCACGGCAATGCCATTGCTTTCTTCCTGGAGCACCGAACAATGAAGGCAGAAGCTAAAAAGTGTTTCCATGCCAACATGATCCCTCCGGCTTCCTTCGTGGCCCCGGGGCCCAAAGAGATCAATTCCCGTTTCTCAGTATCTTGGCATTGCTCACTGCGGATCACAGCCTCGATCACCAAGCTCCGTGGATTTGATGGCAGATGGAAGGGTTAGCTAAACATGCACACCTGTCAGTGCCTGACTTCTGTGTGCAGGCGAACGGCAACGCAAGTGGACCGGGGCAGGCCGATGCTTTCCAGCAACTGAGCCTGTGCAGATCGTACGACCTGACCATCCGCCGCGATAGTACGAAAGAAGAGCATCATGCAGCAACATGAACATGTCTCGGGCAATTCTCCAGCTTTGCTCCAACAGCTTTGCTTTCATAGTCTTGAAATATAGGAGTCTTTGATATGGCTCAGCCTGTCCGAATCGGCCCGGCCTGGCCTCATTCCAGGCCTCGGCGGCGTTTGGGACCCGGCGCGCCAAAGGCTCGGCATGCGCCGCCAGTCGCAGCGCCAGCTTGCACCATTCCGCCCTGAAAGAGGAAGCCTCATGGCCAACACGCACGGCCTTTGCAGCTTCCGACCATGGCTTTGGAACCGTTCCTCTCTACCTCCTAGGCTTGCAGCCTTGCTCCCAAGACACTCCATGTTTGCGGAAGATGAGGTCTTTGTCACTACCAGCTTGAGCACAAAGTACCTGAGACATCACCGGAAGTGTGTGGACAGAACCATCCCAAAGAGAGTTTTTCAGACATGTCCCAAAGAAGCAAGTCTCCAGATGCATCTGCGTGACTTGCATCAAAGCATGAGCTTCGTCCTCGGGCACCGCCAGGGCCAGCATGGCTGGCTTGAAAACGTCTCGGCGCACGCAGCCTGGTGAGACAAAGGTGGCAGGTTTCCCAGCTACCGGACCTACCCAACTCTGCCTTTGAACTCCAATGCTGCTTTCCAGCCACCACGGGGCGGCTCCACAGAGAGGAGCCCAGTGTTGCCAGCGCTGCTAAGGTGGACCGCCTCTACTGGAGCTCGGAAAACGAAGCCAGCTGTGTCGGCAGTGTCGTTCATGTGCCACGACGTGTCCTGCAGGACGCAGAGCGCAGGGCACGCCGCAACAGCCGGGGTTGCGTCGAAGCTGACAGCGACAGTCTCAAGTCAGCCTCCATGCAGTAGTAGATGATGGCACCGGTAGGTGATCTGTAGAAGGAACGCTTGTTTTGCCGCCCAGACCACTTGTAGGTGCCGCTGCAGCGTCCCGCATTGCTGACCTGTCTGAGCCGGGTTGGGTCACAGGATTTATGACTTATGAGAGCTCCACCCACTGACAACTCTCCACTCCTGCCTGTACGGTCCAGCAGCGAGCCTTCTGCTTGTACTTCTGCGCAGCAACCAAGCGCAGCACATTTCGCTTCAGGCTCACCTCGCCATGGATCTGGGCTTCCTGGACAACCGAAACTCGAAACATGCCTTCAAACCTACGTCTGGCAAAGCTTTGCACACGTCTGCCACAGATGCCATGGCAGCATGAGCACAAGCCTCGCTTCCGCAAGAAGCCTTCCAGCACATTCCCCCGAAGTGCTTCGAAGACTGTACTAGCTTTACGACCGAGGATCCTACGGCCATGGGTGCGAGACTTGCAACAGCGAGGTAGAGACCGAAGATAGGGAAAATCCCGTTCCAACAAAGTATTTCGGCCAGCACAGGCTGATGCGCAGATGAACCCATACTAGCACTCTACAAAGAAGAAGGAAAAGGCTTTCGCCGGGGCTTGATGCGCGTCCTTGTAGATGGACAGCACGCTCGAATCTCCGACAGCCGGGCAGTCGATTAGGATCCGCCCGCGACCAGCCCCCGGCCAGCTTTCCCACTTGTAGGACTTCCTCGCATTGTTGTTCTGCATGGGTTCTGCATGGGTTCTGCATACAGTAACGGCCCAACTAATGCTCCCTGGGCTCTACATGCATCAAGGCAGTCAAGGAGCGGGGGCGGATGCTTGAAATCTGGGCCGAACTGGAAGGAGGCACGACCTTTCACGGAGATCGCCGGGTAGAGGCCTTCAAAGAACGAGGGCATGTCCTCTTGCGAGAGCTGTGGCTTCCACGGTTCGCTCCACGCCCCGTTCGATGCGAAGCATACGGCATTCAAGTCAAAGTCTACCACGACGCCGACCACGACCTCTAGATTATCTGGAGGATTTCGGGCCGAGGCTTTCGATTGTTGACCTGATGATGCAGATGATGCTGATGACGACGATGATGACGATGGACAGCACTGTTTGTTTTTAATTCCACTGAGCAATACTTTCAACCTGTTGTCATCAAAATGGCATGGCGGGTATGGTCTCTTGCCGCACACCTGAGCCTGTCTCCCACGCGCACCTCTTTCCCAGGCTCCAGGCTTCTTGTTGTTACACAGCACCACACGTTGCACTCCCTCTGCAACAAAGAATTGCAACTTAGAAACTTAGACTTAGAATTGAAGCTCTCTATCTCTCTCTCTCTCTCTCTGTAGAACTGCTGAAAATTGAAAATCATCTTCTTTCCGTAATTTCCGTATGTTCGGCTTCCCTCGTGACAGGTGAGGCCAGGAGACGGTCTCGGCGAGGAGCTGTTGGCCATCCTCCTCCCAGTACGCTTCAGGCTCCTTCTTCTTCCAGCTGACATCATTCCAGGCACAGAACGGTCCACCCTTGAGGCATGCACCTTTCAGTCCCCAGAGTGAGACACACCGCCTGCCACGCTAGGGCTAGGGCCCGGAATCTAAGGTGGGCACCGTGCATGCCATCAACCCCGCAGCTGCACTCATCGTCGCCAACCCCAAACCTGGACTGGACACCAGGCGAGCACTGGAACTCCTCGCTGGCCAAACCCACCTGCACCGAACGCGGAAGCGCGGGGAAGCGAAAGAGAAGGATCAGAGAGATCAGAGAAGCTCGACCGAACCTGGGGCAGCCAGCAGCCCTCCACCAGCTCCACCTCGAAGAACACGCAGCCTGTCCGCACTGCACTGCACTGCACTGCGCTGCCCACCGCACGTCCATGCATTCTCCCATGCATTTGCGACGGATGGGCTTAGCTCTAGGAACTCGCCATCGCCGGGGAGTTACAGATCAAATCCCGCCCCGTGAGTGCGCCTGGCTCTCCTGAAGCTTCAGCGGAAAACGCCATGCTGTTTTCTTTACTCTTCTGTGGCTGAGAGAATGTGGCTCGCTCTCTTTGTGTAGGTTCGGCCCCTCAGATTTCGAGAAGTTGAAGAACTGATCTGTTCTACCGCCTGCCGGGCTGGTGTTGACGGGTCTCATGTGTACGACTTTCACGACACTAACTAGATCAGCATCATTTGCTCGGTTTGCCCTACTTGGGTCTGACTAGCACTTCCTTACGTTGCAGCAAGGTCCCTGCGGCCACTGCAATGGCACTGCAATGGGATCTCCCTTTTTCTTTCGGACCCGGCGACACCGTTCCCGGATTTTTGAGTTGTCTCTTTCACTCGCTCACTTGTCCCTGTGCTTCTCGCAGGCTCCTGCCTTTCTTGCGCTTCAGCTGCGGGAAGCCGAACGTGACCCACTGCTGTGTGGGATCTTCAGTACTGCCTCGGACGTTTTGAGACAAACTGCAGACGAACGGAGATCGTAGGTTGGTCTTTCCCAAGGCGCCTCGTAGCAGCCGTGGGGCCTCTGAGCTGGGACGGGCAGGTGGCGCTGTGGCCACATCCACCAGCTTGCGAATCTCCTCCTCTTCGTATTCCTCTAACACCTCGGCATCCCGGTTTCCAGTCCCCGAATGATTCTTGCACCTGGACTGGTCGGCCCTGCCACTTTCCCATGTCCCCACTTCCTGCTGCGAGGCACGTGCGCATACTTGTCGAGCACTGCAAGTCGGGATCCTGCGAGACGGGCCAGGAAGAGCAGACCGAGCCACTGGCTATGAGCCTTCAACTGTGTTCTGTATCCCTCGAGCCTGAAATGCCTCCAGAATCCTCAGGCGCGAATGTACAGCGAAGCCGGACATCTTTGAGGACCAGGTAGGAGTCACCATATTGGAAGGCCGGCTTGCAACCTTCGAAGTCGTTGGTGACCTGAGTTACCCGCCACGTACATTTGACGTACCGACACGGTCTGGGACACCAGTCACGAATTAGTCCAGCTTGCAGCTGCTGCATCCATCCAACGACTTTACATTATCGACTCATTCTTCCGCTGTAGCTTCCCATTTCTGACCCTGGTCGAAATCCTCACTCCAACCTCTCGTCCCCCCTCTTCTTGATCCACCATGTTTTACCAGGATCCTCTCTTGAGATCGAAAGTTGAGAGCAATCTCAGCGAGCTGTTATCAAAATTCTCCTACAGCATTCCGGTGGCGTAATGCCTCACCAAGCCCGAAAATCGGCCAAAATGAATAGTTGTCCTCGCTTTTCGGCTGTCTCGTGGTGTGGATCTAAGGCATCGCGCTAGCGTCTCCCCTTGTTCCAGGCACAAAGATACATAAAGACTGTCATGGACATAGGTTTGAAGTCAGATGCACATCCAGAGACGAGCCCCGGCCCGTGCACCCCAAGGATGCAAGGCACGTGGCGATCACAAGCAGAGGGTCGCTTTAGCTCCGAAGTGTCCCTTGCATTTGTTCCTTCTCTTTTCTCCCACCGGCTCTTCTACTAATGCTGCCAGTGACATTCAGAGCACCGTACTTGCATCGCTCGAAGGGCTTGGCATCGTCATATGCATCTCCGAAGAGGTCGCGCTCCCAGGCAATGCGCGTCTGATTTCCTGTCCGTCCGGGGGGAATGCAAGAGCCATCCTGGTCGGATTGCTGCGCCAAGTGGCCCTCATCGATGGCTCCATATGATGTCTTGGTCTCAAACTGGCTCCTGACAACACTTGCAGAAGCATCTGCTCGGTGCCACATCAGCAGACTGGTCCTGTAATACTCATCGGACTCCAGAAAGCGACCCACAGTGTCGATATTGACATGGATGATGACAGGAGCGAGGTCTTGTATCCAACTCAGAACAGCCTGCAACAAACCACTAAATCTCCGACCACGAGAAGCTGCCAGACACGACGAGTCTGCCTGCAACTCCTTGTCACTGAAGCCCATCTCCTCGAAGCGAGCCAGCACTCTTTTCTCGGCATCCTCACAGGAGAAGCTTTGCGTGTGTCGCAAGACATTGCTCGGGTCCTCGTGGCTGGCTGTGGCATGTGCTCGGACCTGTGCCAAGGCCCGGCGCTGGCAGCTCGTCAGACGGCACACCTGCCGGCTCTGATTTCCGATACAGGCATGCGCAGCCGTAAGCCGAGTCCGTGCCTCGCGCATCTCGGAAGCGGGGTAAATGGAGTCCCAGAAACCCTGGTCCTCCTCGTGAATGCCTACCTATCGCGGACCCGGACACGTTGCTTGCAGCACTGGCCGCACAGGCCACAGGTGTCTTTTCAGAAGAAGGCGCCTCACGAAGGGCTGCCGCCACCTCGGCATCCTCTTCCGTGCTCACCACCCAGTGTGCCGGAACGCAAGTCTTGCGGCCGCTCCTGTCGGAGGAGCTGCGGCTCCAAGAATAGTTGGGAGTATGGTGTAGTATGGTCTTTTGGTCTGCCGTGCCTCAAGAACTCTAGCTGCACTTCCAGCTGAGAGGGGCAGGCGATGTCTTCCTCTCCCTTGAAGTGCACCCCGGTGACTATCGCCTCTTCAGGCTCTTCAGACTTTGTGCGATGAGGCTTCGTGCCCGCCTGAGTCCGGGAAGTGCAGGGCTGCAGCACCGCAGGCATTTGCACGTGCTGTCCACGCGACATAGAAGTGACTCCGCACCCGCGCTCCGACGGCCACGCCGGCCAGGCTGGTCGCATCCCGCCGCAAACTCGCCACCTGCGAGACAAGAGAAGCAGCCTGCAGCTCGAGAGCAGGTGGGAGCGTGGCTGGCAGCCGGGACCTGCTGCCGGCGCTGCTCGAAGAGCCGCTGCACCTCGGCGGCTCGGCGAAGCCGAGGTCCATGTATCCGCTGCGCGCTGCGCTGCGCTAAGTCGCTGCTCAGTCCACTGACGTCGTGTCGCAATGCAGGTCAAGTCTCTCCCCCCATGCGGCCAACAAAGTCCTGGAACTCGTCCAAGCTGATGCTGCCTCAGCGGGGCTGGACTCGGTCGAGCAAAGCTAAGCTGAAAAATCTGATAAATTGGGGCCGGTGCCATTTTCGTCATGGTCCAACTCCGCAGGGTCCACATCGAAGCCAAGATAAGCTGCCAGGCGTGCTAGCTCGCCGTCATCCAGATGATCTGACCTCGCTTCTACCGGCGGCAGTTTGGGAGCTTACATCTGCCTGCGTCGAACTCTCGGGAGTTGGGTCCCACACCGGTCTACATCGAAGCGGCGGAAGGCAGTGTCGATGCGATGCCGATCAAGATCAAGACCTCTTGGACCAGAACCCACGGTCGCCACGTACAATGCAAAAAAAAAAAACGCAATCCAAAGCCCGTGCACCGCTCGTGACGTGAAAAGGCGACTGCTGCTGAGCCACCACGGGTGATCCGGGCAAGGCAAGCCTGAGGCACAGCAGGGCACGCTCAGCATGCACGCTCTGCCTTTTGAAAATGAGAGGATCATTTACATTTCGCACCTGCGCTTCCACGGGGTCGCTCAGCAAGACCTGCGCACTTCCAGCAGAAAGCGATGCGAAGATTGGCAAAGCATCGCCTGCGCGCAGCGGCTCACCCAGCAATGGAGCGGGTGTCGGCACTTGGCCGTTGCCGGATTCAGGAAGGTGTGCTTCTGCACCAGGGCCTGCACGAGTTTGTCGAAGGGAGTACGGTATCTGTTACACTGTTACACATGGTGAACTTCAGCACCTTCAGGTCGCTCGCAACAGCGGCAGCTGGATCTTTTCCCAAGCGACACGCCTGGGCATCGGAAACCCCACTCATTCCGACTCAACGAGCAATGAAAACAATGCTGAGGAGCAGATTCCACAGCAGGCAGAGGATCCACGTAGCTTCGCGGTGTCTCATTGGTGCTTGCCACTGGCACCGAAGTGGGAAGAGCGGATGGGACGGCGGAACTGTCTGCCTTGCTCCCAGTCGGCGCTTTCGCTGTCTCCGCTGCACTTCTTTCTGCGACCGTGTCGGAAGGCGTTGGCTCTGGCTTCATGGTAGAATCTACTTCTGCAACGCGCTCCGTCTTGCTCTCTTCTCCTGGTTTCGCTGGCGCCTGCACTTTGCTCTGATCAGCGGCCTTCCACAGTGCCTTTGCTGCTGTGGCATACGCATCGGCATCTGCCTCCGGAGGAGCTGGTTTCCTTTCTTCGGCGGGCACGGTTCCCACCTGTGCCCTACTCTGATCAGCGGCTTTCCACAAGGCCTGTGCTGCTGTGGCGAACACATCGGCATCTGCCTTGGGAGGAGCTATCTTGTCTTGGGCGGGAACCGTTCCCGCCTGTGCCCTGCTCTGATCAGCGGCTTTCCACAAGGCCTTTGCTGCTGCGGCATACGCTTCGGCATCTGCCTCTGGAGGAGCTGGCTTTCTTTCTTGGGTGGGTGTCGTTTCTGCTTGTACCTTGCTCTGATCTGCGGCTTTCCACAGGGCCTGTGCCGCTACGGCATATGTCTCGGAATCTGCCTCCGGAGGAGCTGCCCTTCCCTTCTCGGAAGGTGCAATTCCTGCCTGTGAATTGCTTTGGTCGGGCAGGGAAGTTGCTTTTGACGCTGGTGTGTCTGTGGATGTTGGCTTCGCTGCCTCATTCGCTGTTGCACCTGCTTCCTCCCTGCTGGCTTTGTACCCACTGTCGAACCATGACGGCCTTCACAAGAGGCAGCTGGAGAAGGAAGCTGGTGGCTACAGTCTACAGCCTTCAAGGACTCAGTCCAGCCTGAGTTGCTCCAGGTCCACCGCCTGCAGGAGCATGGCGGCAACGTCCAGGGCACCTTTTTTGCAGGGCGACTGCATGCGCCAGGGCGCCCCTTGCGGCCCGGCCTGCTTGCACGGCGTAGTAAAGCGCAGGTCGGCCGAAAGCATCGACCTGCACATCAAAGGGGAAGGCGACGTGATAAGTCCCAGTGACCCTGCGACGTGCCTCACTGGCACTGCACCCCCTGTCCAGCAGCAATCGGAGAATCTCCCATCTCGATTTTTCTGTAGGATTGCCCATCGCGTAGTAGAGAGCGTTGCGCTCCTGCGCATCCTGGCATATCATGCACACGTCACTCCTGACATGTCTTGACATGTCCTGACTCTCTTGCCAGCTGCTTGGCCTTCAGCAGCTCGATGCCCGGACAGGTCTGCAAAAGGATTCGGACGGTCTCGATGTCGTTGCAGCACGCCTCGGCTTTGATCGCCACAAAACAAGCCCGGCTTTGGCGGCTGCATCGAATCGAGCGGCCAAGTGGAAGGCATTCCTTGGCTGAAGTCTCGACTTCTGAAAGCCTAACCCCATCTCGATTCATGTCGACATCCCTTCCGAGCGAAATCTTCGTGTCAAGCTTCCGCCCTTTCTGGTCGCTGGCGAGGGGATGCGCCCGGTGCTGGAGGAGGCTGCGCACCGCGTTCCGGTGCCCATGCAAGGCCGCCAGGGCCAAGGGTGCAGCGCCGTGGTCTCGCGGCGACGAGTCAGAATGGTCAGAGCTCTGCTCCCTCGAAAACGCTGAGCCGCTAGGCCGCTAAGCTGTCCCACCTTCCACGGCCCGGACGTCCGCGCGGCGCTTCAAGAGCAGGGCACACACCTTCAAGCATGCTTAAGTACGCTAGAAGACGGACTCGCTGCGACTTGTGACTCCTGCCTCTGCATGTCCATGCTTGGCAGCACAATGAAGTGGCGTGCAGCCCTTCTGCTCCCGGGCTTCCATGAGTTCAGACACAGAAACGTGCGAAACATCACCTTCAAAGAGCTCCATCTCTGCAGCGTGCTCAAGCACGCCCGAAACTTGCACTGCATCTCCTGGAACAAGGGATGCAGACGATGCAAACGTGTGAAGGCTCCCTCTTCAGGCCTCTGGCGGCCGCCGCCAGGAGCACCTTGCTGAGTGCCGAGCGCGCATCGTTATGAAGCCGCTCGGAGGGAGCGAACTGCCGACGTCCTGCTGCATTGCATGGAACCCAGCTGCGACCTCTTTTCCCAGAAACACTTCCTCTGCGTGGGGTTGAGATGATCGCCGAGGCACGCAAGTGTCCCGCTTTTGTCTTGGCGAAGCATTGTTCTACCTCGACCAGCCTGACTGCCCCACACAACAATCGGCATCAATTCCCTCCGACACCCGAACTCGACATTCTCTACTGCACCGCGAGGTGTTGTCCTTCGACCATGAGATCCACCTTTCGCCTTAGGCCTTTCCCAACCAGACGTAATGCTGCTGCAAGGCCGCTGCAAGGCCCCTCTAAAAACCATGTTGTCTGATGTGCACGTCCGGGTTTTTGCTGGAGTTCAGTGCTTCATCTTCAGATCTTACAGCTGATTTTTCGAGCTATCTCAGGATGCAGCATCGTTTAATCCCTTGTAGCATGGCTGCTCCACTTTCCTCACCAATTCACTCGATCCGTCACCGCTGGGCATCTGCCTCCCAACATTAAGAGTCAGTCTTCTGCGACCCTGATGCGAAGCCATCACGCAAAAAGAGGCACAAGCTTCATTGATGCATGGATGCTGAGATGTGAGCTGTCCTGTGGAGGGATCCCACGAGACTCTGAACAGAGGCGAGTATGGCGAGAAGTCGCGCGTCTGTGGCGCTTTCTCCTGTGACTGAAGCTCTGCTGGTCGCCTCCTTTCGTTCATTGACGCCGACCGACTGTCTACCATCAGTGGGCTGGACGGCCGCGTGGAAGGACTCCGGGATGCCCGAGCCGACGCTTGCCTGATTCGGCTCCTGCTTTGGCTTTGGCCTTGATTTTGTGCATCCTTCGTGTTCCAGAACTTCTGCCATGGGACCTCGCCAGGTGCTGGGAGCCTTCGGGATGGTGACAGCGATCGCGATTTTGACCCAGATGACCGCCCTGTCTCAGCGGTTCGGCGCAACAACGACTGCGGAGGCTCGCGCTGCAATGTGCCCTGTGACGCAGGCTCCGCAGGCTGTGATGAGGGCTGCGACGCACGGAGCTGCCGCACAACCTCTACGGGCGTCCGCCTCTCCGGACCCAACACCTCGATGCCCAAGACGGGTATTCCGTCCATCTGCTATGTACAAGGGCTGCGAGTTGGCGAGCTGAGGCTAAGCGGAGTTTACGGTGGTGCAGCACCTACAGTTGTTGAAGAGCTGCGCTGTGATGTGCAATCTAGCTGCCAATGTGGCTGGCGATGCTAGTCGAACTCTCGCTTGAACGAGCAGACCACACAGGGCCACAAAGGCATCATTGCCTGTGACGAGTCTGCATCACACGACACTGACACCAAATGCAAGCTGAAGCAAGTAGGTGATCACACATGCATCACAAAAGATTCGGTTGTTTTCGCTCTGCTTGGCAACAGCGGGAGCGGCGAATAGTCCCTGGATGCCCTCCAGGTGTCAGGACTTTACCAGTATGAACAGCCTGCTCTCTGCTGAACACCTGTTGATGAAGTGGAAGGCAAGGACAGGAAGACTCGCGCAAGACGAATTCTGTTGCGTTACCGGGAAGGCCTCTGTCTTCCAAGGCACGGCGTGGCACTTGCCATCAAGCAGTCGCTAAATGATATAACCAAGTCTACGCGTACCCTTCCATGCGAGCTGGCGTCCAGCTGCCACGCCGATGGACTCTTGGAGGCCCGGCCCTGAAAATCTCCCAGAACCCTTTTTCCCAGATACGGGCCTCCAAGGTGCATTGACGGCGGCTCCTCGCTGGGAGCCTCAAAGTTGAAATTTGACAAAAAAAGACGACGGTGCCAATGCGCAATTCGGCGCTTCGCTCCTTCGGAGCGTGGAACCTGGGGTTGCACTTTTGCTGCAGGAGCACCCGTGAAACGGCCCGCTCATTGCACACAGCACACGGAGCTCTTCCTGTCAGGTCATATGCGATTCTCTAACCCGAACGAGAGCATTCCACTGCCCTCGAGTCCTCGAGCTAAGCAGCTAAGCAGAACAGAAGCTTTCGTTGTTGCTCAGCGAAAAGAACATTGACTTATTGATGCAAGGGTGGCTCAAAGGTGTTCTCTTCTCTTAAGCCTCACCTTACTCCCAGAATGAAAGCTTCGTCGCAAGAACTTTCGGGCAACGAGCGACTTTCTTTGAACATGTCCTGCTTGGGTCTGGCGCAGGTGGCCCTGACCAGTCTTCAACGTCCACCATCACCTGTCTTGAGTTCCCAGCCCGAATGCTCCAGTACCCCTTGAGGCCCAAACATCTCTAGCGACTCTAGCTGTAGCTGCAAGCCTCGAACTGGGCGAACACGGGACGGTGGTCCGAGCATTGCAGACAAGGTACCTGCACCCGGAACGGATCTGCTTGGCAGTGCTGCCACTCGGCAATACATGTCATTGTTGCAAGGTCACGGAGTCATAAGCCAGAGACTTGATGTGTGGATCACGACGCCACAAAATCCGGTCCTGGCTGCTCATAGCATGAAGAATCGACAGCGAGCGACTGTGAGTGTAGCTCAACTTCACATCACATCCCGTCTCCCATCTCTGTCCGTCCAACTCGGTACCCGCTGCTTCTTGGAAGAATCGTAGATATCCTGAACGTGCAATGTGACCCACTGCAATGCGGGTCGAAAAGCAAGCGCAAATATCTAGCGCGAGAGAGAGAGAGAATGATGAAATCGGAGTTCCATAATCCTGACAGGCGGAGAAACTGTCGAAACTGGAGGTTTACCAAGACCTGAGCTTCATGCCGAGTGCTTGTCGAACTTGTAAGTAGGTGGAAAGTTAATCGCTGCCTGGCGAAAGATGCGCAACTGCGTTTCTCACTCCTTAGTTACTCTGCTTCACAGCCGAAGCCTCCTCAAACTCTGGCCAGAATCCGACAGAGTTGCTGCCTCGCAAGACGTGACAGCCGAACTTTTCGTTGCATGCGCGGGTGACAAGTCATGTCAGTGCGATTTGTACCGTCCCTTAGAGACCGGAATGAGTACGACACCGCGGTTCGGTGGGCTTTGAAGGCTAGCTGATTTGACAGACCGGATCTCGACGGCGTAAGGACAAGACGGGGCATGTTCGCATGCCTTAAGATTGAGGTGCCCTGTTTCATCCTGTAAACCAGGCATGGGAGGAACACATCAAAGTCCAAAGAAGAGCGAATGCTGGTCAACGAAGCAATGCGCGAAAGTCACGCCGGTTCATCTCTAGTAGCCCGGGCTGGCTGCAAGGAACACCGGCTTCTGGGACTTCGATGATGCCTTTATCAGTAACGGTATACAGGTCCGTGCTCTTGTGCTAGTTCGTGGCATCCTTGTCTCGTTGCCACAGTCATCATGCTTAGTCTGCACAAAATGCATGCTGGCCAGAGAACCTGGCCCAGCTCTGCTTTTCACAAGGGTTCTTCTAGTCGCAGGGATCAGTGAATCTGAGACTGCAAGATCTCTTCATTCGTCTGCCGTTCTGAGGCTCTCTATGTCCTGCTGCACTCAGTTCTGTCCCTGCTGTTCCAACAAAACAATACCTCAAGCTTCGGGAGTGTCTGCATCGTGCAGAGCCTGGCCTGGATTGCCCCTCAAAAGAGGCAACAGCTGGTCCTTTGCCAGGCACTTGTCGAACTGCCTGGGAAGGGTGGCATGCGCACGGATGTCAGTAGGGTTACGAACTGGGGCTACCACTTCTCTGTGATCCACTCGTCCACTTGAGCTCTGCTGGCATCCACCCGCGTGTTGAGATCGCCCTGCTTCCGCAATCCAGAACAAACAAGTAGCAGCATTTTCTTGATTCACCCTCACTTCGTGACATCTTTCAGCAGTCCATCACGAACACGCGGTCGTATTCCTCGTGGACGCCGCTCGAATCCTGCAAAAAAGGCGGTGTGCTCGCAGGGGTATGCATGGCTGGAGGAGCCATTCCTTCCGCTTTCTCAGCGGCGAGTCTGTCAGGATGCGTTGCAGATTCTGCGTACGCTCCTTTGCACGGTGCTCAACTACACGGAAACAGAGAGGGTCTTGTCTTGGCAGCCTTCATCTTGTTGGCATGCGCTGCGAGGTGGGCATTCACAAAAAGCATGGTGGTGTTCCCCACGTGGAAGGCTACCTGCAACTCGAAACTCAAACTACGAGTTCAGCATGGCTACAGCCCCCAAACCCGACTGACCCGACCCAGAGCTTCCCCCAAGCGCCACATCTTTTTGCCCCGTCGTGCGGGTCAGCCCAGGGCTCCTCAGCCGTCCTCAGCAGCTCATCTGATCGTCTCTTTGCTGAAAACACGAAAGTCCCGTGTTGCCAGGATCCAGTCTTGCGAGTCTGGGCATTCACTAGATGGAGCTGAGCATTTACAGAATTCCTGAGACGAAACATGATGTCAATGTGAAGATCGAAACTGGCTGTGGGCCACGCCGGAGAACGATTTTGTTTGACACATCTTGCTGTTGTCACAGCCGTTACGGCCACCGTTGCACATTTGTGTCGGGAAAGCCCCGTCATGAAGCCCCGCTGTTTGGTTGCTGGATGCCGTTGCCTGTTGTGACGGAGTGGCACTGGTCCGCAGCGTTTCGACAGCACGCCCACGTCCAGCTTCGATGAAGTCCACAAGACGCAGCATGTGCCAAGAAGCTTTCACCGAAGTGATTGAACTTCACCTTGTGTCTGTGGGTTCGTCTGACAAAAATCTCAAGACAAGCGCAGCCCTTGAACTGGCAATGCCAAGCCCTGAAACAAACAAAAGCCAGTATGTGAAAAAGCTCGGTTCTCTCTGAAAAGTTCTGATATCTTTCTGATCCATACGTCTTGACTCAGGACGCCCAAAACCAAACATCCTCAGCACCCGTGAAGCTACCTTTGGGACTGCCGCCTGTCGAGTACCAACTGCTGCCGTGACACTGGCTGGGCGGGCCTGCCTGGCTTACGAGTTATTCGATGATCCAATGACGAAGCTGACAGGCCAGTGCCCCTCTACAGCGTCAGAACAGAACACCGCTCCCTTCACCGCTGCAACAGAGAACAGTGTACGGCCAATCATCACCCAGCCTTGGATGGCAAGCGCCGTGCCTCAGTTTGGGTTCTGAACCGCTTGAGCGGTTGAAGCCCGCGTGCGCGCGCGTGCACGGGCGCGCCGAGCTTCGGGTCCGAGTTGCCTGTTGCGCAGCATGTCCAACGGCGCCCGGATCCAGGTCTGAACGGAGATGCACGGAGCTGCACTTTGCTGCAAGCCACCGCACTTCAGCCGCACTCCTCGCCTGAGTCGCTGCTGGTTGTCATGTCCGCCCAGCGTTTCCGTGGCTTCATGGCAGCGGCCTGGCAGTGTCGAGGCAGACAACAGGAGATTCCCAGGGCTCGGGCGGAGCCTGCCAGCTGCTCATGGCAGCACCTGCAGCACCTCCAGCACCAGCATCTGCATCGCTGCCCTCCTCATGGCACGACGTGCACTCTGCACGAAACGTCTTGTCGGAGGTTTTTTCCCTTTCACTTTCTGGTCCACTTCTCTTTGAGGGTTTTTGTCTCCTCGTTGCTTTCGGAGAGCTCTTCCTCGCGGAATTCGCTGCCACTCCGGTGCCGTACATCGAGATCGGAGTCGCTGCCTGGAGCCCAAGAAAAATCCTGCATCACCTGCATCCTTCGTGTCTATAGAATCTAGACTCAGCAAGTTTGGTTGCATCGAGGCGCTGATCTCATGCCACTTCTTCCCCGCATGAGTGGTTCGCATTGACGGAACCTCGTCGGCCAGCTCGTCCAGCTCCTCGAGTCAAGCGGACTTTGAGCCGATCCGAGTACAGGCCACAAGCAGAGTCTCGCAGAAGGTCCTGGCGCAGATCCTCCAGCTCTCCCCGGCGATGCGCCCGCAGCAGTCCTGAGAACAAAGGAATGTGCCTAGTCCGACAGCCACAACTTTGTGGCTGTTCGCGCCCACCTTTGCGAACTCGAGTTCGGATGCTCTCTGCCTTCCGAGACATGGGGAGACAGGGGAGGACCAAGGCCTTGCCCAAGGCATCCAAGGCCTGAGTCTCCAAGACCTCGGTCATCTCACCAACCAGTCGCTCCAGCTCCCCGGAGCGCATGGCATTCACCACGCCACGCCGCATCCGTGCAGAGATCTCCCGAAACTGGGCCGCTTTGGCTTCGAACTTCCGCTGTGCGGACTCCATCTCCTCGGCCAGGAACTGCAGCTCCCCCGAGCGCTTCATCTCCAGCAGGCTCTGAAGCGCCCGCTGCTTCGCGGAGAGCGAAGAGCGGCCCTCCTCAGCTGGAAATCACGCCGTCACGCGGCCGCTGCACGTGCTTCCGAGCCGCGGTATTGGCATTTCGCGCTGCCGCGGCTGCGCCAGTGCCCGCCTGTGCACCACTCCCGCGCCGCATCTCCTGGCCGCACAAGCCGCGGGATCTTCGCGGAGGACCCTGGCTGCAGTGGGATGTGGACGAACACCGAATCTCCTCTGCGAGGTCTTCCAGCTTTCCGGCCCTCTTCATGCGAAGCAGGCTCTCAAGCGCTCGCTCTTTCAGTCGTTGGAAATCGTCTGCCTGACGTTCCACCTGCCAAACGGTCAATGAGTGGCCCTTAAGGAGGCCCATGTCTTGCCCAGGCCTCCTGCGCCAGATCACCGGCCACCTTGTGCAACTCCCCGGTTCGGTGCGCTGTAAGCATGGCCGCTTTGAACTTCACCTTCGGCGAGGAGGCGTTTGACACGCTTTGACAGCTCTTAGTGGACTCGTCCTGTCCTTCAGGTTCTGCAGGTCGGATGCAGAGCGCTCCATGTCTTGCTGATCGTTGCGCAGCTTCTCGAGCAGAGCCTGCAGCTTCCCGGTCCTGGCAGGATCTCACTACGGAAGGAGGGACGAACCAGTGAGGAGAGAGGGACCTGTTTGCTTGCAGCAAGCTCCAGAGCGGCGTGCTCCGCCGAACGCCTTCGCTAGACATGTTCGCTGAAGGCCTCAGCCATCTCACTGAGGCAGGGACTGCTCTTCGGCTGATGCCCCTTTTCCTTGGAGAACTGGAAAACAGGTAGCTCCAGGCAAGCATAGGCAGCGGTTCCAAGACTATGCTGCCAGGCATCCGACTGCTTGGCATCTGAGGACAAGGGGCTGCATGGTCGGTCATGACTTGGGCTTGGAAAGGCATCGTTGTGCAAGCCTCGAAGGACTCGGATTGACTGATACTTTGGAAAAGGCATATGACAAGTTCCAGCCTGGCCTCGCCCTGGGTCCACGCCTGCAACCTGCTCAAGTTTTGCTCACAACCCTGCTAGCCGCTAGCCATCGCCGTGAGGGAAACGGAAGGCCTCTGAGCTCACACCTTCGTCCGTCTTGCTTTCAAAGTCCCTTCGAAGTCCGTGAAGCTCTCCTCGACGATGAGCTCGCAGCAGGCCTGCTGCATGATGCTTCATGGATGCTTTGACGCAACACACTTCCACGCCCCGGGCCTTGTCGCAAACGGCTGCAGGTCGTTTCTGTCTCAGCCTGGAATAGAAGAGCGCATCTTCACGTCTCGGCTCTCCCCACTTTCGGCGTTGGAGCCTGTGGATCCAAGGCTTCCAGCTCTTGAAGAAGCGACCCCAGGTCGAGGTCGTCTGCTTGCGCGGAGGCCAGCTGTGCAGCGGTTCCTTTCAAGCGGGCCACCAATGAAAGGAACTTCGCCTGCAGCAGATCGAGCTCCTGGTCACACAAAGCCCAATCTGAGCTGGTGTGGAGAAGCATCTTCCCAGTTCAGTCCTGCTGAAGCAACTGTACCCGTGGAGGTTTCAACTCCTTCGAGAGATCTCCCTCACTTGTAACATCGCCTGCGTTGGCCAGCCACCACACAACAAAGCATTCGCTTCTCCCAAAGCCTGCCTTCTGCATCACCCACAATGCTGAACCTTGCAGGCGCGACGGAGTGCGGAATGTGTGCAAAAAAAAGAACCTGATCTAGCTCCAGCCACAAGAGTCACCAGAAGCAGCAGTTGTCTCTCACACAGATTTATGTGTGGCTGTTTCCGCTGGCACGGCCCGGGGGGAAGCATGTCAGAAGATGTTGACAACAACCTGCTGCTGGGAGTCCACAGCAGGCTTGCGAACTTCGAAACCACACCCGGGTGCCAGAGTCACGTCCCACAGAAAAAACACGATGCCAACCGCTGTGGCACACCTTGTGGCAGTGTACATTCGTCCACACCATGCCACAATCGCATGTTCCAATTTTGAAGCAACCCTTAGAATCAGACATGGAATACGAAAGGAAGTAAGGCTGCCGATGCACACACAGCCTGCGACCAATTGCCCCTGTGACAGTCTGAGGCGGGAGCGACGGTGACGGCTCACTGCGATCCTGGACTTCCCGCAAGCGGCATGCCCGCCACACCCCAAACGGCAAGGCAAGGTTTTCAAGGGCTTTCGACAATGATGCTGAAGAACACTTGATGAAATGCTCAAGGTATTGGGTCCTTCACACGCCTCAGGCGCATCGCCTCGAGGCGTTCCGTGAGCTGCCGGAAACCCAGCTCCCGGGCCGCCACCTGAGAGGCAAACGCTGTCTCTCGCTGTCTCGCACGATTCTCACGCGCGCTCCCGAAATCGCGAAGTGGCGCACCTCTTCGAGAACTTCTCTCGCGGAGGCTTTCAACTTCTCTAGCTCCGGTGACTGGGTCACGACAACCTTCAGCGTCTCCTGGCACCGCTGGGGGTCTCGAGGCTCCAACCTCACCTGCTCCACCAGAAGACTCCAAGGACCCTTCCTCTTCACATAGCTGTGTACTGTCAGTCAGCACAACCAAACAAATCCCATGCCAATCGCTATAGGACCCAAGACATCTGTCCTTCAGTGTTGACATCTCTGCATTCGCACGGCGAATCTCCTGGAGGGTTACTGGGCTTCACTGGGCAGCTGGATGCCATGCCATGACATACCATGACGGGGCCTCCAAGATTTGTCGCTCCCGGTTGATGCTTCGGCGCCGCCATCTCTTGGAACGTTTTCGAAGGGGACTGCCTGACAGCTGGCGGCTGGCGGTCTGAACGACAACTAGACGCCAAGAAGCCTCAGCTCTGGGCCTACATCATCGTCATCCGCATCTGTTGCTCCACCCTCGACGTGTTCATCAGCTTTTTCCGGGCTCGAGGACCGGCTGAAGCTCCGGCCTCAGCCCAACGGAACCGTAAGAACCGGCTGGGAGCACGCTGCACCGCAGCACAGTCTCCTGCGCTTCTCCGAGTCCTTGGCCCTCCAAACCAGGGGGACAGGGCCACAGCTCCTCCAACAAATTGATACTGGGGTGTGCTGCAATTCAGACTTTCTGGTGTGGTCCTCTTCGGCGGCGCCGGGAGACTCTCGAGCTGGAGCTGCACAGTGTTGCGCAGCAACTCTCCAATCAGCAGCATGTGGCACAAAAGGACCGCCCAAGCCGATGCCGAGCCTCCGAAACCTTGGAGCGCTTCGGCCTCCTGCCAGGCACTCGCCAGGTGGCGCAGCCCGAGGTGGCGGAGCTGCCGAATTCGCCCGCCTGGCCGTCATCGCCGACGTGCTCGAGCTGGGTGAGCAACCTCTCAACCTCACATGTCCACAAGTTGCGCTCACGGCTTCTGGGCCTTCTTGACGCTCCTGGCCTTCTCAATATCGTCGGCAGGTGGCGCAGGCCGGCCCTGGGTGGTGCGCGCCAGGACACCGCTATTGCTGCAGTCTGGCCACCGAGCGGCTGCAGCCCGCATCTCCCAAAGAAGCGCTGCACGCTCAAGTGTCCGACGTCGGACGGAGGCTTCGAACCTGGTCGGAGCTCGTCGCCAGGGCTATCCAAGGTCAAATCCACACGGCTGCCCGATTGCCCAAAACACAATTGATCCCCTGGCCTTTTAAACAAAGTCTTGGGCTCCTCCGGCACAAACATCCTGGCAAGGCCACCTGAATCAGCTGCAAGTATCGATTCTCTGCTGAAGTGAGCCATCCGGAACATTGCCGATCTTCGGAACTTGGGCTCCATGCAACCATCGACGTCCACTCGACGCGGGTGGCCACCATTGTCATGTCGAAGGAACACCGCCTTCACCTCTTAAAATCAGGGATCCAACTTGGAGATCCAGCCCTACAGGCTCAATAAAGATGGCTCGGATAGCTGTGCCAAGGTGCCCAATCCAGCCGGAACGCACCTTCTGCCCCCCGTTTTCCAGGCAGCGGCAAGGGTCCAGACTGACCATAAAGCAGCGGCGCGCCAAAGCCTTTCAGAACGGCAGCAACAGCTCAAAATGGAGCACCTGGACACGGAAATAGACTTCTCGAGCACTTAGTAGCGCTCAGCTTCTGACCCCAAGCATCTTGGACTTCGAAGACTTCGAGAAGATGACCCGAAGGGACCTTTGCAAATTACAGACGAGGTCCCTGTACAATTTTGCATCGATGCTGCTGGGTTCCTTGTGATTGAACGACCAACGAAAGCGGGTTCTTTGGTTTGACCATATCGTCGAACATGAAGCCTGACATGGTGCATGGTATTTGCACGCGATTCTGTGTATAAACCTAGAAATATATACCGACAGATGATATGTATGTGTGCATGCATGCATGCATGTGCGCATACATATATTTGTAAACAAATATAGCAAATATACAGACAGAGACAGACAGAGACAGACAGAGACAGACAGAGACAGACAGAGACAGACAGAGACAGACAGAGACAGACAGAGACAGACAGAGACAGACAGAGAGACAGAGAGACAGAGAGACAGACAGACAGA